CACAAGGTGGAACAGAGTGTTTTCTATTTCAGAGAAGAACTGGTCTTAAACATTCAGGGTTTGTGCGTTAAACAAAAAACAACTCCAGTTCTGTTTGCGATGAGAAAACAACACCATAACATTGACCAGAAAATAACGTAACGTGGGCCCTTTAAATGTAAGGATGTGTATCACTTAAAATTCTAAATTAAAACTCTTATTAGTTTAATGTATGTAAATAGTTAGAAGCAACTTAACTAAAAAAAAAAGTCAGAGTTTGAGAATTACCAAAATAACAAAAGAGCAAAATTATACTGACTAAACATTCAAATCTCAAAATGAATCCTAATGACCCTGAGTTGCTGGTATTTGAACTTTTATACTCAAATATAATTAATCTGTGGTATTGTTAGAGAATTCATAATGTCAAATTGGTCGTAGTATTGTCATGTAATATTGCGGTTATTGCGGTATAAGAAAAATTTAAGTGTAGTTGTTTTTATATCCTAGTAGACTTCCATCAGTTTGTGGTTTTATTTTGACAGTCCTAAATTATACGAAATTGACTCTTGTGAGCTTTTATCCATGTTATAATGTTGTTAAATCCTCAAAAACATAGCTGGAGTTGTGTTTGTTTCATTCACATGTTTGCGTAATGATTTATTATTAGGCTGTCTACATCACCAAAGCTCAAAATGCTCTGTTCCACCTTGTGATGTCATGTAGTGGTAGTTTTGAAGTTAACAGCTCCTTTTACCTTTAGTTGAGTAGAGAATGAGAAAAAGTAAGATGGCAGAGGGGAAGGTCGTGCGTGAAACCATCCAAATTATTCTAGTGAAGGTGTATAAAACTTTAAAACACATGACATCACAAGGTGGAACTGAGTGTTTTCAGTTTGTGTGTTAAAAATGTGTGAATGGAACACAGCTCCAGGTGTGTTTGAGATGAGGAAACAACTTAATAACAGATCAGAAAATGACCTTTAAGGAAAACAGCAAAAAACCCCAAAACAAAACAAAACAAAAAAAAACAAACCATAGAATTGGACTATCTTTTTTTTTTTCTTTTACTTTGGTAAATTCAAATGTGTTTTTTTTCCCTTTTAATTTGGTAAATTCAAATGTGTTTTTAAATGTGCATTATTATTATTTTGTCGTACAATTTATAGGACGTTGTTACTTCACTGTAAACCTGAACATTCAAAGTAATTAAATAGATTAAGTCGTGTACACTCTAATTTAAAAAAAATAAATAAATCCTACTAACTTAATTATGTCAAGTTGCTGTAACATATTCTTCTTTTTGAGTAATTTTAACTTTTTTTTTTTTTTTAATTAAAGGGAACATTATAACAGATCAGAAAATAGCCTTTTAGGAAAACAGCAAAAAAAAAAAAAAAAAAAACGTCATAGAGTTAGAATTGGACAGGAAACGTGCATAGAGCCCATTGTTATTTAACGTTATTTCATATACTATAGTTTTTTCTTTTAGTTTGGTATATTCAAATGTGTTTTTAAATGTACAATATTGTTATTATTTTGTCATAGAATTTATAGGACATTGTTACTTGAAATTTCTTATGATGATGATGATTATGATGATTATTTTTAGCCCCTGACTGGTACAGTGCAAGATCCAGTAGAGCAAACAACAACAGACAACAAAGACTATGAGACTCACAGTGACACAGAGAGACAAAATGGAATTTTATGGTCTTTTTAGTCAATCAGTTAAGTGAATAATCCTTAAAGGCGCACTGTGTAACTTTTTTGCTTTTCTCCGCGGAAATGTTTTTGCTTGTCTGGAATGTTTCAGAGTATGGTATTAAACCTTTCTATCTTCATGGAGACCAGACCAGACCAAGTTACAGGTCAGAATGTTGTTTTTCTAGGTATTTTTGAGCTGTAAAACCACCTGTAATCGAATAAAGATAAGGCAGAGCTGTTCAGAGTCACACTGTGGAACATTCCAGGCAGAGCAAATAGTAACTCCCCACCTGAAAAGTGACACAAAGCACCTTTAAATGTAAGTAAAGTACCTATAATTCATCCACAAATACAACCATACATAGAACAAGACATAACTGACAACATTACCAAAAGGGACATACAACGACAACATAGAGTATTTGCTGATGATTTTTATTGTTTTGAATGAAAAGTATGCAGGACAAAACATAACAGAGAGACGCAGACGCAGATCTACTAGGCCTTGCACATGTCGGGGAACTTCATGTTGAGGTTAACCATGGTCGTTTGCTGAGAGAAATTCTGCGTGATAGACCTGACGATGTTTTTGTTCATTTCAATGGCCTCATGGTAAACCAGGCAGCTGTACACATTCTCTGACTCCTCCCACTCCTTCAGAGGTACAGTCAGGTGGCTGTAGGTGTAGTAAGCGCCATTGGTTTTCATGCTGTTAGTTGTATTGAATTCGTGCCTGGACACTTCATCGTTAATTAGCCACGTGACAAAGATCTCCTTGGGGAGGAAGTCTTTTACATAGCAAGTCAGGGTCACCTTGTTATCTTTAGTTTGTTTTAAAGGTGCCAGCATGAATACAGAGGGGGACTTCGGAAGAATGTGGTCTGTGGAGGTGAAAGGCAGTTACTCAAAATGATTGAGAAAGTGTGGCTGAAACTTAGCTATTACACCATTTTATTATTAAGTTATTATTTTGACAAATAAAAACACATGCCAATTAAAAAAAAAAAAAAAGTATAAAATTACTATTACTTATAAATCAATATACGATACTGAGTTGTAGTGTTTGTGTGTGTAAGAGTGTGATCTGTTTTATAGTGCAAACTCACCATTCTTTCTCTCATAGATTTTTATGAGTGGGTCACTGAGCAGGTCCTCATGCTCCAGTACACACTCGCGCGTGATGCCTTCGTTCCACTCCTTGTACATGATATCCAGATCCAGGATATAGCGCTGTCCGTGCCTCTTTGCCCCTGGGTCAGAGTTGTTCATCAGTACATTCCCCTTGTCATCCAACCAGGACACACTGCTGACTTTACTGATGTCCTCTACAGTCACTTCACATCGGATCTTTCCTTGTCCGTAATACAGCATGTCTTCCACAGTGGGCGAGATGATTTCCATATGACCTTTAAATCCACCTCCAGCCTCTAAAACACAGAGAAGAAGTCATGTAAAGAGAAATTAGTTCACTTTAATGTCAAAACCAATGCTCTCAATTTTAACTGAACAATAGCCCAACTGTAAAATATTTGGGAAAAAAAGGGCTGGATTCTTTAGGGATCCAACTTTAATTTGATTTAATGTTTTATTTAATATCGTATTTTGTTCTAGTCATGATTGACAAATGACAGTAATAACAACAACAAAAAGTTGGATTCTCATTGGAAATTATCTTTTACAAATCCAGGAAACTTCCCACCTATATGGCAAATTACTTAAGATAATGTGCAGGAAGAATTTACACCAAAAAAGCAATTGGATTCAATTACTTACTTAAGATTATTTTTAAAATTATGATTATTTTTTAAATATCTGTACTGGTTTTGAATTTGATAATGCAGTGAAAATGTGAAAAATCTTGAACCTAAACAAATACAGTATCAAGATGACATTTTGAATTCAAGATTTTTTTTTAACCACAAATGTTTACTCACCGCATTTTTGTGAAGACTTGTATTTTTGGGTCTCGTTGACTGTCTGCAATTGTGCCCCTTTCCCCAAGTTAAATTTGCACATGAATTCGTTATCGCTGTGCAGGTCGTACGTTGGTACAGTCAGGAAACTTGCAGCTGAATACACATTGCCCTTGTCGGTCTTCGTGGACTTGGGCGGCATGGTGCTCACCTGGTTTGAGTCGGACACTTCTTTATTGTCTTTCAGCCATTTAAACTCAAAATTTTTGGGCAAAAAATCGTTTGCCAGACAGGAAAACGTAACTTTCTCATTTGCCTCAGAGGTCATCATTGTAAGATTCGGCAATCGATAAATCACATCTGGAAAATAAACAGAAAAAAACAGACACACATATATAATTGCAAAAGCAGGAAATGTATATATATATATATATATATATATATATATATATATATATATATATATATATATATATATATATGCAGAAGTGAATTCAATGTATAAGGTACACTAAACATTTATCCTGTCGAAGTAGCAATAGGCTTACAAGTAACACAATTAATTCACTATTCTGCATATACATGGAGAGCACAAGCAGACAACTCGACCACTTGAACAATTCACTACGGAGCGAATTTAGACTGAAGACAAACAAATGAAAAGACATACACATGAACACATACATATTTGGTGCAAGCAAAGCGTTTTTAGTATAGGACCAAGTATAAGCTATATTATAATCACAAGTGCATGACTCCTCCACTCCACCCGTCTTTAATATCACAAATATTTTACTTATAACAAGAAGACTTTTACAAAACTCAAATTATAATTAGCATTATTCGAAATTTTTTAAAAGAAAAATTGCAGGAAACACAAAGTGATAAGTGTACAGGTGATTTTGAAATACATCTTTATAATACACATCTATGTCTGTATCCATACATAAGCATCAAATTGTGTGTTTTTTTCTTTTTTCTTTTTTGCAATTAGATTAGCTTTTTTTTTTTAAACATAATATAAAACTGCTACATTAATCTCACATGCGTTTCAGAATGTGTTTTAGAGGTCAAGATATTTAGAAATTGAATAATTCTGACCATTTCAAATATTCTTACAGCCAACTTACAAATTTAATTCTAACAACATTCTAACTATATATATATATATATATATATATATATATATATATATATATATATATATATATATATATATACAACACACACACATATATATACTTTATTTATATATATACTTTACATATATATTAGCAATCGTTACAATTACAGTCCAATTGTTTCCATTCAATAAATATGTAAGATTATTTTGCAAACATTGTCAGATACTGAATATGTTAAAATATTATTACTGTATTATGAGTAAAAAAAACAAACTTACTTGGCTTGGCAAAATCCACTTCTTTAGTTCCAGCCGCGTGGTCCACTTTGCATTTGTAAAAGGCCTGCCGCTGTTCCCACTCGTCTCTTTTAATCCGGATCTGGCTGACTCCGGAGTAGAGATTGTCTTTGAGTACAGATGGATACTGGATGGAGTCGGCGACGGCGGTACCATTTCGAGTCCACGAGAAGCTCACAGATGATGGGGAAAAGCCAGAGGCCAGGCAAGCCAGTGTCACCATGTCCCCGGACCCAGAGCTGCATGGTATGACCGGGAAGACCGTGGGGGCCGTTGGGGTCGCTGGAAAAATAGGAGAAAGGAATAAATAAGTTGCTGGCAATACGTCAGTGAAGAGTCTCGTTCAGGACGCTGTAAAAAAAGATGGTGAATCATCATAAATGGTTGAACAAATGCAACAATCGAACAAAGGAACACAACAAAACAAAATATTACAACATCATTTCACATTTGAGATTCGAATGTTGTTTGCTAAATTTCATACGCGCCTTTTACATTTTTCTTTTTTGCAATGGAACAACAAAAAAATTGAACAAAACAAGAACGAAAAAAAAGATATTACAATGATTAAATTAGAAATAATTAAAAATTAGTTTCATTGAGGTTTCTAAAATTTCTTACATGTATTGGTACAATTTTTTTTTTTTATATACATAACCAACATTCCAAATACTTTGAGAAATATTTTACACCACCAATTTAATGCAAAACTCCAATCTACGCAAAAACACTTTTTTCCGACAAGTATTGCGTTTTAAATTTTTACAAAATTTGTTTTCTTACATTTGATAACACATTTTAGCGAGAAAGCTTGGACAGTACACATACATTCTTACAGGCATCCACATTTTCAACTGCAATGAATGACCCGGTTCACTCAATTTACACTTACAAAATTGACTTTTTTTCCAAAATGAATACGTATCAACTGCATAGATATCAATAAATAAAAAGAATTACCTGATGTGACGGTTACCATGGTTCCTTTTCCCCAATAGTCAAAGTACCAGTTGTACACAGTAAACAAAGTCAGTGGTCGCCTCTCACAAAAACGATTTCGCTCATACCGTACCATGACTTATTAAGTACATACAATTTAAAACTTCTTTTAGTTTTAAAATACGTTATCACGACTTACCAGAAGTGACGGTGACCATGGTTCCTTTTCCCCAGTAGTCAAAAGCGTAGTCACAGTGCATAATTCAGCCATTCTCAACATACAAAAACCTGTCTAGTTTTCAATTTGTCAAACCGTAACACTGGAGAATTAGAGATTATTTATAATTGTTGATGTTAAACAGGCAACCATGCATTTTTGCCGATTTCATACGCTTTGGAACTGTTAACTGCATTGTCGATACATACTTACCATTAACAACTACTACAATAAAAACTACATTCACCAAATTTTGTCTAAAACGAATTTTGTTGTTTTGTTAAGAATATAAACAAAATGATTTAACATTTTTACCTGATGTGACGGTCACTGTGGTTCCTTTCCCCCAGTAGTCAAAACGGTAGTCACAGTGCATAATTCAAACGTTCTCAATGTACAAAAACCTGTCTATTTTTCAAATCAATTCATCAAATCGTGACATTAGAGAATTAGAGATTATTTGTAAATGTTGATGTCCACAGGCAACCATGCATTTTTGCCTATTTCATACGCTTTAGAATCGTTAACTAGATTGTCGATACATACTTACCATTAACAACTACTACAATAAAAACTACATTCACCAAATTTTGTCTAAAACGAATTTTGTTGTTTTGTTAAGAATATAAACAAAATGATTTAACATTTTTACCTGATGTGACGGTCACTGTGGTTCCTTTCCCCCAGTAGTCAAAAGCGTTGTCACATTGCTCAATTCTAATGTTCACTTCATACAAAAACTCCCTTTTTATACATCTGAATTTACATTGTCATTGAACAATATGAACATTTCTGATCACACACAATTGCAATTTTTTGGGGGGTCAGAAGATCTAAACTTTTAAACCAGACAATACCTTTTACACAGATGACCACGAGTAAAGCCACCATGCATACTTTAAAAACAACTCAGCAATAAACAGTCCAAAACATGCAGAAATTAGTATTTTACAAATTAAACAGTACCATACATTTTGAAGACATTTTCTTTACCTGAAGTGACGGTCACTGTGGTTCCTTTCCCCCAGTAGTCAAAGTAGTCGTCACAGTGCATTATTTCAATGGTACGTCAACTCAAAAACTATAGTTACCAGCTAAATTTTTTAAAATCAGGTTGTGTGTCGGCTGTGTTATATGTTACCTCTGTTAGACCATTAATATGTTGATTTTTTGAATGAAATTTAAGAATATTTAACAGAAAAAAACATAAATAAATACAGTTTTAAAGTTGACATTGTGACTTACCAGAAGTTACCGTGACCTGGGTCCCTTTCCCCCAGTAGTCGAAGTAAGCGTTCACAGTGTATTACTTTAATGGTGGGTCAATTCAAAAACTCAAATGAAGTCTACATAAAAATGTTGACTCGCTTGACCTCCGATACATGGTTTAGGAGGGACATTTAATTGAAAAATACAAGGAAATAACAACTGATAACAAAAGATCTTGGACTTACCAGAAGTTACGGTAACTTGGGTCCCTTTCCCCCAGTAGTCGAAGTACTCGTACACAGTATAATATTTTAAAGGTACGCCAATTCAAATACTCAAATCACATCTACTTAAAAATGCTGAGCCTTTTGACCTCCAAAACGTGGTTTAGGAGGAAAATTGTATTGAAAAACACAAGGAAATAACAACTGATAACAAAAGATCTTGGACTTACCAGAAGTTACGGTGACTTGGGTCCCTTTTCCCCAGTAGTCAAAGTAGTCACAGTGTAACTTTTGGATGGGACGGCAATTCAAAAACTCTGAACGCTTATACCGAATTAAAATGTTGTGTCGTTTGACCTCTAGTACACGGTTCAGGACGGACATTTAAGTACATTTAATTGAACGTACTTAAATGTACACGGAAACACACTTCAAATAATTAACAAAACATCTACGACTTACCAGAAATCAACGTAACCTAGGAAGGACGAAATTTTAAGCATATTTTCAAAAACTACACGACAAAAGATAAGACTTACCAGAGGTTACCGTGACCTGGGTCCCTTTTCCCCAGTAGTCGAAGTAGTTGTAGTCACAGTGAACTGTTTCAGCAGTACACCAATTCAAAAACTCACGACTTAATTACCTCTTACCGGCTTACGACAGAGTGTTCCTTTCTGATGATTGTTTCGAACACATAAAAAAAGAAAAGCAAACTGACTCGAAACAGATTAAAACAATTGACGACTTACCAGAAGTTACCGTGACCTGGGTCCCTTTTCCCCAGTAGTCGAAGTAGCCGTAGTCACAATGAACTGTTTCAGTGGTACACCAATTCAAAAACTCACGACTGAATTACCTCTTACCGGCTTACGACAGAGTGTTCGTTTTGGATGATTCTTTCGAACACATAAAAAAAGAAAAGCAAACAATTCACAACTTACCAGAGGTTACTGTGACTTGGGTCCCTTTCCCCCAGTAGTCGAAGTAGTAGCCGTAGTCACAATGAACTGTTTGAGCGGTACACCAATTCAAAAACTCACGCCTCTAATACCTCTTAACGGCTTACGACAGAGTGTTCCTTTTGGATGATTGTTTCGAACACAAAAAAGAAAAGCACACTGAAACGAAATAGATTAAAACAATTCACGACTTACCAGAAGTTACCGTGACCTGGGTCCCTTTCCCCCAGTAGTCGAAGTAGCCGTCACAGTGCTACAACACAACTTGCATCTTGTACAAAAATACTGGTCCAATATGTATTATTTTTGACAAATTCCCTTGAGATTCGAATTTCCTCTTCCCAACTTTTGTAGAACTTCCTCTTTCTCCAACGTTTCCTTTTGTTGTTTTTTTCCCCTCAGTGTAGCCACGTTTAGACAATTTAATAATAAGCATTAAGAAACGTATGTTCAAATGAAAAAGTTAATGTGCCAAATCTCTTAAAACAACCAAGAAGGCATCTAGAGCTTTGGAGTTAGTTTACTTTAAAATGACCAGATGCAAAACTTGTATAATATCACTCTATTGTTAATTTATTCTATTATGGAAGATTTTAAAGGGACAGTCTGGAATTTTGGACATAGGACCTCATTTCCTAGTGAGCCAGAGTGTTGGAGACATGTGGAGACACTTTTTAAAATATTCCATCCAGTCCTTGTATTTGCAGAAGTCACTGGTGCTAGGCTAGTGCATGTCAATGGCCATAGTTATCCTGCCACTAAAAACAGTCTTACCCACTCCACAAAACACCCGAAGCAAATCTGTTATTACGCCGGACTGTCGATGTGAACGTCTATGGGAAGTGTTTACTCTGTCTGCTTTATTTTTAAGTGTTCAGAGAAAAGGTCTTTGGATTTATACAGTTCAGAGCAAACGTTCTTCAAACAGTATTAAATAATCAAAAGCTCAAAAACTGCATATGGCCACCAGTGGCGTATAATTCACTTATCTGGCATGAACCAATTGTGAGTGGTTTCAACTTCTCGCTTCTGTCAGTCTGCCTCAGGGCAGCTGTGGCTACAGTAGTAGCTTACCACCCCAGAGTGTGGAGTGAACAAATAATGTATGTATGTAATGAGTATCTATAAAAGCACTATATAAAATGTATGTACGTGCCACACTTGCAGTCAGTGTAAATGCAACATGATTGGTTGATCCTCAAAAACTACACGGACAAGTGATTAAAAGTAATAGGTCAGAACAGCTAAGGGTTGGCACAGAAATGTGACTGTTTATTGTCTGGGTCCTGATTAGCTCCACAGACGTTTGCTTTTCAAGCTGCGATCTCAGAGTCACATTAGTTTTTCATTCTTTTACGCTCCGGATGAAGATGAGAGAGGCTGTGTGATGACCACTTTTATTTTTGCTAAGCTAAACAATCATCTCGGTGAATGCATGTAAATATAATTTAATGTAAATATGGTACAAGATTTAGATGCTAACTGGGAAATGTTTATATGCTATTTTAAGTTGATTCCAAGCGTGAACCTGAGGGGCCGTGACGGTGTCTGTCCCATGTTCATGCTAACACATCGTCTTGGTGAGTCTGCACGTGTTTAGTATCAAATATGGTGAAAAACATGCTAGCGCGATGCTAACTCTAATCGCGAGTTTTAAACTACTACTTGAAATCAATGTAAAACCAATTTGTACTTGTTTTTATTGTAGTCTGAAGCGAGGTTTAAATTGACAACAAAAGTCACTGCACTTTTATTTCATTTTGCCCTGTTTTATGGTGAAATGTAACACTAATTTGGTGTTTTATGTAAAAGAATATAAATTAATGTTAAACCAGCAAGGGTTTACAGATTCATTGGAAGTATAAGGATACTATTATCTGTTTGTTAATGCAAATAGTTCATTGTATTTCAAGTAATGATTTGCAAAATCTTAAATAATGTTTAAAAGGTAATAATTTAGTTGGATAAAAATATTAATAAAAGATTTTATTTTTAATAAGTTAAAAAGATTTAAAAGAGCAATTCATTTTATTGTTATTACATGGGTTAAAAGCAAATTCATGTGCGGCAATGACAGATTTGAGTTAAAAGAAAACATGCATGTATGTTCTGATATTACTATGGAGTTACATTATTTGATATTTTGAGTTAAAAAACTAAGCTATAGGTACTTGATTGCAAGGATAATTTAATGGAAATGGATTTCAACTAGCTGTATACTATAATGCTGTTATTGTTGTACAGGCTAGGTTTTTTTGTGTGTGTGTGATGATTAAGAAGACAAGACTGGATCTGGATTCTTCTTCGGAGGAACGGCGAGCCTGTCCCAGAACCCAGAACTGTGAACCCAGACTGTGAACCCAGAACTGAGAACAACCTTCTTCTCTGCTCTTAGCAAACTCATCACATGGTAACCACTCAAACTACCACAGCGAGGATCCTGCTTGAACATTGACTTTG